TAGGATACAAAACGTTACCAGCACGACTTTTAACTATGCCCACGAATTGCGATTTTTGTAAGTTCACTGCAAATGAAAGATGTTCATATATTGAAATCGGTTAGCTTGTGGGCAAGTATTCTTTTGATTTTGTTGTAGTCAAAGAAAAGACTCGTAAATTGTAATTTTTGAAAATAACTTTGATATACCAGAGCAATATTTCACTGGATGAGTCCGGAAAGAAAATTTTATACAGCGAACAAACTCAACCGAATGGGCTGCCACGTTCATAAAATCAGTAGCCATCAAAAGTTTCCAAGAAAGCAAGATGAGACTTATCTTAGGCTAAATGATCAGATTTGAAAAATCTTTGAGAAAATATCATGCCAGGGTCCGTATTAAAGATCCTCAGCTAGGGTTCTTGATTTTGCCTTTTTGGACAGTTAACATTAACATTAGCTTGATGAATCTTATTCTTGAAAATTCATTTTTTGGGGTGAATCAGATTCATTTGTTCGGTTAATTATGATATAAACCAACTTAATGTTCACATCATGATTATTTGAAATTACAGGTTCATGCATTACAACCTGATGGCTGAGCTCCCCAAAGGCTTTTTCAAGCATTTGACGCACATCATCAGAGTGTAAGACCCCAGAACGATCCTTTCCTTCACTCACCCCTTCAAAAAATCATTTTAACAATAGTCTATGTTATTAATTAATTAATGATTATAAATGGCTTTCATAATGCGATAATGAAATGATATTTCTTCTTTTTCTTCTTCTTTTTTCGAATTTTAGAACCTTGGACACCAACTTGATGTGTTGCCATCTCGATCTTCTCAGGCAGGATGCTGATTGCGAATATGTATTCAATGATAACTTCGCAAGCTGCCACTCCATGTTCCGCCACCATGCTCCAAGGAGAACTCTTTGGATTGTCGGTCTGCTCTCGTTGTTAGGGTCTTTATTCGTAGTTGGGTGGCAGTATTTCTACCCTGATAATAATGTGGTCCAGTCTATCATGTTGGTGAATCTGGGTGTATCTGACGGCATCATGGGAATATACCTTATCATTATAGGTATAAAAGACCTGCAATGGTCAGGGGAATACTACCTGCATGACTATGAGTGGCGCACCGGTTGGTTTTGCCATTTCAATGGTGCCATGTCTGTCTTTTCAAGTGAAGTGTCAGTGATGATGATTTCTCTGATCGCATTGGACAGACTCAAGAACATCGTGTTTCCTTACACCTTTGCAAAAATTACCCCTTGGCAGACCCGTATAATGTGCGTAGTTATCTGGCTGGTGGGAAGCGTTATGGCATTCCTTCCCTTGTCCGGAATGCACTATTTCAGTGAGAGGTATTATGGCAATAATGTAGTGTGCCTGCCCCTGCAGCTTTCCCCTGAATTACAAGAAGGCTGGGAATACTCCACTTCCATCTTTATCGTTTTGAATTTTTCCCTATTCATCTTCATCATGGTTGCTTATGTTGCCATCTTGTGGAAATCATGGTCGTCAAGCAGACGGCTTGGTACACATGGAACTGTTCGTGAAATACGAGCAAGAGCACAAAGTGCACAGGCTAAAAGAGAAAGAGCACTTGCCAAAAGAGTCTTCTTCATAATTCTGACCGATTTCTTGTGTTGGATGCCAATCATTGCTATCGGCATCCGTTCCCACGTCGAGAAAACATTTGATCCACCTGGTGATCTGGCAGTGTGGATTGCAGTGTTCGCTCTGCCGATCAATTCAACTATCAACCCATTGCTGTATACGCTTTCTACTCCACAGGTAACATGTGTTTTTTCTGTTACTTTGGAATAACACCTACCGATATGTTTAAATTTGCTTTCGTGTCAGAGCAGGCAACTTAATTTTGTAATTGTAAAGATTGACATACAAAACAAGCATGAAGAAAGTAAATGATCGGAGAGATTTTGTTAGCTTCTTCACTGTTGACTTAAACCATGGAGACCAATAAGACCTCTAAATACGTTACTTGAAAGTCTTTACGTAAACTATCCAATATATTTTGAATGTCTAGGTGCAGCCTGTGTTGAAAGCAAAACTGAGAAAGCTGTGGTCCAATGTTCGATCTCTTTTTAGTAGAGGACAAAATCAAGAAGGTGCAGTTTTAAGCTCCATTCAAAAATACCATGATAACAATAATTATATTCCAAACCTTGAAATGAACAAACTTTAAGTTTTATCAAATTGAGTATAAGCAACCCAGTGTTCTTTAGATAACTTATGTCATTTTAACTCATAAGGCTTTCAAGGGGGAGAGGGTGGAACTGGTATGAAATCGTAGAATACTCATGTATTTTTTAACTTTTTCGAATAAGAAACTGAGCAAATTATTGAAACCACAAAGGTGCAACCTGCAATATGTAAAGTTGTTGCAGACGTTGAAGAGAAAACAAGAATGATTCTAAGTAGAGAGGGGATCAATGTAATAAATCATCAAGTTTAATGAAGGCAACGACACGTTTAGAAATCATGATTTCAGTTGGATTTTTTTTAATATACTGCTTTAGAGATACTAACCATGAGGAACATTGAGACGAATTGGTGCCATTTGCGACAATTTTTTAAAATGAAGTGCTAGCCAAAACTCATTCTACAAAAAATTCTCAAAATATGAATGGCTATACTTCTCTCTGAAATTATTAGGTGAAGATCCATTCCGAATTGTAGAACGTTTTTTTTTTGGGATAAAACTGACAAAGACCATTAACTTTTTTTGGGTTTTACTTTTTCATATCAAAGAAGCAGAAAATGATCAGCAGGGGCAGATTGGAAATGGAGATGAACATGCTAACGTCGAGGAGGGTAAAAAATATACTTCTTCTCGGTGTAATCACATATATCTTCTCTACACCTCTGTAGGGTTCTATGTGCGATACTTTTCTTTCCTTTCCCTTTTCTATAATTAATTCCTTTTTTCATTTTCTCCCCCCTAGGAGAACAAATTGAAATGCAATTAATAGCACAGGTCGAAATTCCAGAAGTGGAAGCCCCTGAATTGCCTGCTCCCCAACCAGGTCAGTAAATAAATGTAGAGTTTTTTATGCCAACGGCAATGCTGTAATTGACTTTGTAATTCAACTCTCTTGCCAGGTATGTATAGTCTAATCAATTACCCTATAAAATATTAGCTCTTTCAAATAAGATGCCTAGAAACCACAGCATTCTTTTTCTGCTTTGATAGTTGCTGTAGGTGCACTTTGTGAAAGGAGAGATTAAGGAAGGGTTTCCGATGAGACAAATGTGATGAAATTAGGTTTTATTACTTTTGATTGATAAGTTACCTCAAGATATTCTGGTGATAAATTGCCTTGCGCACTTTTAACACCTCCACTCATGATATCACCATTTCCTTACATTAGTAAACTGTACAGTGCATTGTGGAAGGAAGATACCATCGTCCCCCATATGATGCGGTTGTAGTAAATGAATGATATGTATATGTAGACAATGATTATTCGTTGTTTGCAGTTTTTAGTAATATTGTGCGAAGAATAACTTAAAGATAATTCTTTGCTCTGTTGGCAGAGATTGAACAAGCCTGTGAGGGGGATGCGAATCCATCTTCCTCAGGTAAAAATTAGTTATGAACGAAATATCAAAAGAAGGCATAGACAGCCGCTTTATTTACAAAAGTAGTACTGCAAAAATCACAGTTATACAAGGTGACTTCAACTGCATATTGCACTTTACTTTACAACCGGTCATAAGAATCGCCAAAATGAAGAAAGGTATTAATCCAGCTACCTTTTCTATGCGCACTAATTAACTTGCAGATTTAAACGTGAGCTTTGTAACTCAGTAATACTTCATCAATCAATGAATACTTGAATAAATATATGAAAATCTAACATACGTAAAATACATTTGTAAAGAAATTTATTTCAGAATAAAACATTAACCATGAACGTTATGTCATGTTTTACTCTACTTGTTCCTTAAAACAGATTATGAGGATGATTTCGACATCAGACCAGCCCCTGCAAAGACTGTGGAAGGTAAACACCTTTTCAATTTTCATTTTTTTTTAGAAATGTCATAACTTTACAATACAGCGAAAGGTGGCTGGTGCTAACAAGCTGACGTACTTGGTATACTTGATTGCATGGTTTTGTATGTCAAACCAATAAGATTAGAGTTATCATATTAACACTTAATCACCAATCAAATCACAGATTCTAAGTCTGTCTCATGAAAAAATTTACGAGAGCAGCTTGTTGGCCACTATTTCCTGTAAGGTACAAAACCCTTTCTCAGTTACTAAACCTAATGGGTCGATGCAATCAAAAAAGTCTTGTTGGAAAGTTTTCTGTTGTCAAAGACTTAAGACATATTTGCGTTATTAACGTTTGAGCCTTACCGGAACAACTCGCGGTTTATTTAAATGGATGGTATTCTTTAATGCAATCACTGTTCATCATGGCGAGAGCCAGTATCGACGAAGAACACAAAGAGAAGGTAATAGTTGACATCTTCTGTAAGTAGGAGTGTCTCTACACACTAACAGAAGTTTTTAATGTTGAGAATCGCCCAGTTTTAAGGAACCACTAGTTCCAATTGCAATTAACCTTATGAAAGGTTTTAAAAAATTATCAAAAGTGATCGAAGGTTAAGCTACTTAGAAGAACCTTTTTAATGATGGACACTCATCTTCAGTGTTACTTATAGCTTCTGATAATAGTTGAAGAATAAGGCGATTGTTGCGGATTTCAGTGAGCACAATACTTTACTTTCTATAATGTCAAGATATCTTTAATATTTGTGTGCAGGTGAAGAAGGAGGAAGTAAGCATGAACCTAAAAAGACAACTGAGGAAGGTAAAAACAATGAATTGCTTTTTAGGAACTGAACATTTGTCCCACATGGGTCTCATTTATTCCAGCGTACAGTGTAAGTAGCAACAAGGCTAATTTTCTGACTTGATAGCGGGCAATGGGCTGCGTTGTCTAACCTTATGAATTTTAACAATGAATCTGATTTCACACAGCTGTTGAATCTGAGGAGCAGGTGGAAATTGAAGAGATTTCAGTACCCAGTAACAAAGGTAAAGGAGATAATGGTTTTTGATTGGTCACTCAAGAGAGTAAGGCATTTTATGAGTAATTAAAACATCTGTTTTCCCTTGGTAGTCACTGGAAAAATTCTAGTGTTGAAATTGGTGAAACATTTATGATTTTAATTCCTAAGTACAAAAACAAAATTTAATGACTGTATACTAACTTACATTGTATCAAATAAATATTTTTTTAAAGAAGCTAGAAAAGCTGAAGAAGAAGAGGAGATGCATGAGCCTGACATGGATGTCGTAGAGGAAGGTAACATTTTTTATAAATCAGAAGAGATAAACTCAGATTGGTCCACACATGCTTTATAAGGTGACGCATAATCAGTCCACTCAATTGGCTGAAGATCACTTGAAGTGCTCTGTCGAAAGGTCGCGATTCACATCGGGAGTTGATTACATTGAGGAAAAAAACACACCACTTGAGTATTATTATACCTCCTCGTAACGAAGAGCCATAACTTTTTATACAATGCTAAAATCCTACATTTATGAATTTATTGAGCCGTTTTACATGTTTGTTTGTTTTTTAAGCGATACAGTAATAATTTGCCCAGATACAGAAAACAGAACCGCCACTTACCACAACTCATTGAATGGAAATAGTGACTTTGATGTTGTGTACCTCAGGTTTCAAAACACTTCAACACAAGCAAGCAAAATTAAATGAGCTGTAATAAGTGGCAGCTCTGTTTTCTGTACTTGTGCAATTTAGTACTGCATCGCTTGAGAAAAAATGAGCGCGTTGCATTTCTATCTCTTTTCGTGTTCCGTCCAGGGGAAGAAGACGTGTTTGATACCAGGCCGCTTTAGTACTTTCAAGGTAAATGCTTATTACGTCTGCTTTAATACTGAATACCGCTGACTAAAGGGGTACGGAAAACAAATCCCTCTAAAGAAGGTAGTTTTTTTTTGTTACATGTATCCAATCAGAATAAGTGTAATATTTGAGATTTAGAGTGAAAATCTTTGATGCGTTACGGTGTGTATGCATGTATAGTTGACTCATGATTACTTAAACTATCAGTTTGTTGAACCCGATCTATATTCTGAATCAAAAGTGACTTTTTTGATGCCATTCACAAAGCGTAACTCTATCCTAAATTTTTTTAACTCCTTGGCTAACTCAAACCAGTTTCAAATTAGAGATTTCACTGCAACTGTAATGGTTGAAGTTATTGGAGATGAAGAAGATGAAGTCTGATTTGTTGTAGCTATAATATACTGCTTGTCTTTTTCAAAGTCACTTGCAAATTTTTTCAGGCAGCCCATTCATTGTTGGCAGTAAGGCTACCAAAACATTTTCAAACTAATCAATTTTTTCTCTGCTTGATTATGATTTGAAAAAGTATAACTTGAAAAAAAAAACTTCTGGGTGGCTAATACGCTGCACTGATGAGTGCTCTCTTTGGTTATGCTTGTATATTCAAATTTGCCTTCTGTCCTTAATGCACTGACCAGCTTCCTGATTGACAGTCTGGTAACCTGACTATTTGTGCAACTGGCCGGTAAGCCGTCAAATTGAATTGACTACCTGAGCTATGACCACTGGCTGACTGACAGATGGGCTGATTGTCTGCCCGACTGTCTGCTGGACTCTCCACCTGGCCAGTGGGCATGGTTATAACTAACTGAATTAGATTATGGCTGCAAAACACTTCAATACAGACATGCAAACATTCAACGCTTGACTGACTGAATTTCGGGTCCGTAGATCAAACAAACAACTAATCGATAAGTTAATTTTGCGTTCATTGATAAGCGTGCTTTTTCCTTTGCCTCTGACAGTTTCCAAGAGCCAAAAACATTGCCATTAGTATGGAGACCGCGAGGGCTAGAGAAAAACTAAAAAATTTCAAGGAAAAGGAGAAAAATAATTCTAGTAATCAATACATACTGTCTATGGTAACATCTTAGTCTTTAATTTCTTTTTCTTAGATTTAATGTTATCAATACTCAGTAACTTTGCTTTCTGAACTTATCATTGTATGGTAACAAGATATAGTTGGAGTGGAACATATTGCGCTATATCTGAGTGGGCGTGTAATTTCTTTTTCTTAGATTTAATGTTAACAATACTCAGTAGCTTTGTTGTCTGAACTTATCATTGTATGGTAACAAGGTATAGTTGAAGTAGAACATATTGAGCTATATCTGAGTGGGCGTGTAATTTCTTTTTCTTAGATCTAATGTTAACAATACTTAGCAACTTTGTTGTCCGAGCTAATCATTGTATACCTTGCACTCTATCTATCAGTCCATCTTCCTTTTGTTTTGTTTTGACCGTTTTTGGTTTGCTTGTTTGTTTCTTTTTGTAACATGTACATCTACCTGACACTTTTAGCCTGTTAGTTTTAGCGTATTTCTAAAGACCATGATTGCTACACCGCAGTTAAGTCGGATGGCTCAAGACGGAACACAACAATATCAGGGGTGTAGCCAGCCTAGAGTCCTGTACCTCTTAACTTTTATCACATCACTCGTGCAAATTTTGAAACAAAAATTGAACTTTCTTAGGGTATAGGCCCACGACAAGTCGAAAAGCTGGCTATGCTCCTAGTGTGATAAGATATTCTATTCTGCATGCTGATCTTTCCATCATTAATTACAATATAGCTGAGTAAATGTTTTGATTAGGAATGCCTCTCTGGTTTTAAAAGTAATGTGTAAGTTCATTTCCATGGAAATTGTTAGGTTTATTCGGAGTTTACTCTTAGTTTAGAGGGGATTTGATGTCCCTGAAGAACTTTCTTTTAGAGTTCCTAATATAGAAAAGAGCAAATAATGTGATAATAATAGAACACTAAGGGGCTTGAATAAGAATTATCAGAGATTTATCTGTATAACAACTATTTAGATAGCTCATTTCTAGGTTTTGTTTAAACACGAAAAATCATCTGAAATTTGACAAGAAAAACTTAGACAAATGCATGGGTCGAACACGTCCACTTAATAGATATTTGATGATACGCTGGTAAACTAAATAGTTCATTTCTTAACATTTTAGAACTCATCCGCGAGCATTAAAGTCATAAGGAGTTAAAGTGACGGTAATTTTGGGTTGGATATTATATCAAAGAACTTAGACTTGCGGTTAAGATTTCCACAGTTAGTAGACATTAGGCGGTACAACAATAATCTGAATAGTTCGAACATTACCACAACTCGTCCAGCGAGTATTCAGAGTACGTGTCGAGTTGTTTAATTTCGTTAGTATCTCTAGTTGAAAAAAAAAGGTAAAAATGTGACACAAAAAAAGAGAAACAGTTACTGGATAAGACGTCACGCATTAGAGATTTAACAATATATTGAAAGACCTAAGTAGCTCATTTCTAGAATTTTTATAACTCGTATGAGAGCATAATGATAACTAAAAGGTAGAGTGACGTCTATTTTCGCTATGTTACTACGTTCTTTATGAACGCAAATTCCTTAAAAAAGAAATTAGAAAGATGTTGTGGTAACGAGTAACAAGTCAGATATAGGATATTAATTGGTACAACAACAATTTGAATAGTTCACTTCCACAACAAGCTTGTAAGTGCTTTCCATGCAAACTGAGTTTAGAATTGTTAGAAGAAAATAATCAAGGTCAGAACTCGTTTGTTAGAGGTTTTTATAGAATGAAAATGATTTAAATAGGTCATGTCTTAGAGTTTTTATAACTCGTTTGCGAGCATTAGTGACCTCTGTCATGGCTGAAGCCTGCTTCTTTACATAATTCGTCATTATTATTAACATTAACCTGAAAATCAAAAAAAGGAAAAAAGAAAAAAGGTCTTAGAATACCACTAACTTAGATATTTAGTAGTGTTTTTAAGTCTAATTTTGTAGCCCATTTCTAGATTTTTTAACTCACAACGAGAATTCTAGTTCATTTTAGTATGTGGTATTCTTTTATATCTTTGTTAAAACGGGATCATCAACATGGCTTCTACAGTAAGAAAAACTTGAATGTGTAAGTGGCTTTTTGAGGGAAGTCACACAGAGTTACGAACAGGGGTTCAAGATCTACTGTAAAACATTAACGAAGACTTCAATAAAACATCTTTAAGACCTTACACATGAGTCCGTTCTCAGTTTACCCTATAAAGGTTTCTAAGTCACGCTTCAGGTTCATCCACAGTGTGGATTATGTGCCACAATGACCTGTGACAAGTAAACTGATACAAAATTGCTTTCTGTATCTCTCATAATGTTGAACTTTTTGTTTTTTAATGAATTATTCAGTTTGAGTTTTTCCCAAAAACTGAGCTGTTTTCTTTTGACACCATAATGTATCTCCTTGACGCGACTCTCTTGAGGGTTTTTGGTTACCCCCCCCCCCCCCCCATGTAAAATAAGGCGTAACAAATATATATTTCCGGGAGGTTAGGAAACATTTTTAAGCTTTTCATTTTCTATCCAAAGACTTCCACCAAGGGTGGGTGGGAGTGACGGTTAGTATTTAAAAAACCCTCAGATATGAAATCTTTACTGCACTGTGATTGGTTTAGAAGTCTCGCACCACCCTTTGTTCTGCCTTTTAGGGTGTTGACTCTTCATGAATTTTTGTCCTTAGTGACTGCTTGTGATATTTCCTTCTTGTCAACCGCTGAGATAACTTAAGAAACTCAATAATTTGCCATTGCGGTTTAATTTACTAGGGGAATAGAATTTACACTCCAAATTTACATTTCCAGTGAAGGACTCGAAGGTGTAACATGTAGAGCTACACAGCTATAATGACCAAACTTGAAAGAGACCTTCAGCTAAACCTGAGTAAATCGAGCCAAAAACCTGAGTAAAACTAACTTAACTTAACTAACTTAACGTCTGTACAACTCACTAGAAGCAAACCGGAAAATCTTCCCTTCCATTCTACACTCTTCCTCATGCTACACAGCTAACCTTGCCTCTGGAAGCCTGACACAGTGAGGACGAGCATAAACGTGGGGTAAGTGAGAGAAAAATCTAATTAGAATGAAGGAAGGTGACATGCTTTCCCAGAACCTCGCCGATTTTTGCTCGCTCTCTTTTACTCTTCTCTCCTCTTACCGCGAGCCTATCACCAGCTATGCCTTTAACGACAAAAAAAAAAAACAAACAAAAAAAAAAACAACGTTTTCTCACAAATTTAATTCACTCAGAACACATCTACATGAACTGATCATTTTATAAAATGAAACATATGGAGAAAAGGTAAATCAATAGAAGGCGTTCATGCATATTAGCTTGTTAATGAATACTTCTGCAGTTAAACCACTTTTTACATATAATTACAAATACAACATTCTTTTGAAATATACTCGAACTTATATTATCTTCAAATTCACCGGTGTCTTCTGTAAAAACTCCATTGACGGGACAAGCTAAGCTTTCAACTCCACCTCGAGACAGAGATTTCAACATTTTAGTTCGCACCTTTGATATACGATTGTGGAACACCAGGGTACGCGTATCGTCGACTCTCAAGTGTTTTCATTCCTATCTGAAATTGCGTTAGTTAATCGTATTCTTCTCACTTTTTTCTTAAGCATGAAATCTTTAATAAACTGTGATTCGTCTAGAAATCTCGCGCCACCCTTTTTTTCCTACATACGACTATGGAATACCAGGTTACGAGTTTGGTTCGTTAGCGCGTAGCGTCTACTACAACGCCTTTGCGCATTTACGGGCGGAACGGGGAAAGACAGAATGTGGCCGAGACTAGTTCAGAATCATTATATACCACTTCGATAAACAAATCATGGCCGGTGTTAGAAATTGACTCCAATAGCACGAATGGTAATGTACACTGAAGAGGTTCGAATGGTGAGGACTGAGCCGCTCTCCTTGTTTCAGCCTATATGACGAGCACGTGATGTTCATGTGATTTCTCAACCAGCATGCATTTCGTGCTGGTAGAGTTTCACAATTGGTTCAATTTAACGCACTATAAAGATGGAATTTTAGTCTGCACTGTTTACAATACAGCGTATACCCAAAGCGATACAAATGACAGTAATTTCCTTTACAATTTCGAATTACATTTTCTCGGCTAAAGCAATACTTAACTAGATGAAACTTTACAAGATTACCAAGTTAAGTATAAATCAGAGCTGGAAAAAATATCCAGTATGGTTTCTAATTAAGCTGCCATAAGCCCGGGGTAAGTGTTTAATCGTCATAAAAAATAGTTCTTGTTGCGCTGGGGCTTGCAGGAGGGCGAGACGAACTTGTGGGTCTTCTTTTGTTTTTTACTTTAACCTTCCTCTTCGATAGCATCAGCGCCTAAAGAAAAAAATAAGTGAACTTACGATGAAATTTCTAGAAGTGTTCGATGGCCGTTTGGGTTCTAGCAAAATTTTCTTAATTCTCCAAAGAATTCTGAACCAAAGTCGTCCGGTTATAAACGTTTTATTGAATTCTTGGATGTAAATGTTGACAAAAAAAAAAATAATAAAAAGTTTCTCAGGTAAAAAGATAAAACTAAATTGATTTTTCGAAATGTTCTAGGTGCATTTTTAACACTGAGATATGCGAGTCCAATCACAAGCCTTTCATTTTCCCCAAACGGTAATCTTTTACAGCGTCGTTACACAGTTTTCTGTAAATACCTGTGTTAGTATGGGCCGTACAATCACATTTCCAGGAGGCTGCATCCAAGGTTCACCATCTATTTGTACGGGCATCTCTGATTTTAATTTGATGTTGATCTGTAATGAAGTAATAATAATTGTCATCAATTAAAAAAAAAAAGCATTGAAGCGGATGAATGAAGAGGGTAAATTTCTAAAGAAACTGTGGTTCTGCGTCGGTGTGGGGGGGGGGGGGGGGGAAGGGAAGGGGTGGTATTACATGATAGTTTTTTTATCAACTGATTTTATAAAGTAAATATGCAGAAAAAAATGACGCTACGCCACTGGTGGGAACATAGTAACGTGAAAAACAGAAATTACAAGAGAATAGTACGAGGATAATCAACTTATGGCTTCATTATGTTATTTACTGGATTACAACCAGACATCTATACCTGGGCTCCCTGTGCTAGCCGAATACCAGTCCTGATTCCACTTTGAATTTGACCCTTTTAATAAAGAATTCGTCTCAATTAAGAACTAAGGCACCATTTTTATCGCTAAATAAAAACGTTTCCTATGCAAATACTTAAGAAGAAAGGAAAAGGCAGGATACAAAAATTGTGGCAGTTAGTAGAAAAAAATACGCGGAGCAGATTGGAGAGAACAGTATGGTGCATATGCCTGCTGATGTTAGGGTGTGAAGGGTAAAGATGGTGGTGATTCTGACTCACTAGGTGCATTACTCCCTGAAGTCCAACCACCTCGACAAGACCGTCACAGTGACAAGCTGGGGAATGACCCTGCAAAAAGATTCAAGCAATTTCAATTGTGTGTGGAAAAGGAATCCGGGATTGCATTTATTTCGTTTAACTTCGCTTTGCGATTGGTCCAGATAATTCAAGCCACTCTCTGAACCAATCACGGGCAAAACTAAAACCAACGGTGGTTTGGTCATTTGCTACTTCCCGCGCTATTGGCGGTTTGGACAATTCTACTCTTCGCACTTATTGGCTTCTTTATAGCTAATGCGCTGAATCTTTGAGTCTTTTCCAGACCTCATCTTCTAGGGACAACATGTCATGGTTATTTTATCAGTTGTTTGGTGCTAAGAATATGAGCAGATATCACCACTAAATTCATGAAGTACTACATACATCTTCTTTGTCTGGTCCCCATGCATCTGTGCCTGCTCCCCAACTGGCCGGAAAACAAATTTAAAAAAAAAAGTTAAAGCGCAAAATTTATACAAAAGAATAAAAGACTTTACAAGTAATGAATTGATAATCGCAGGTCAGCTGCTATCAAAGTAATCTCAGAAAAGAAGCCTTAAAAATTCAGACTTTGACTAGAATCGAACCCGGGCCTCCCAGATAATAGTTGGGGACTGCTGCGAAGCCACGTGATGTGAGTGAGACAAATTTTAAAAGGTTGTTCGTTCCCGTAAAGGAATCAGATCATAATTATATGAAACAAATAATGTTGACCTACACGAATCATACTTTCACCGGGCATAAAAACTGTGCAGCTTAAAATTACTTGTTGAAGCCGATGTGCAGCGATTTTCTTGCAATTAAATTGAAAATCTAACCACTGCAAAGTTAATTCGAATTAATTTGATTGACCTCAATTTCAAGCTTTTACTTACCTGCCTATGTTCAGAATTACAATTCCTTCTAGTGTTGGTAAGTCAAGTTTTTTGCCATCAATCTGCAGCGAAAAGGAAGTAAATAAGATACTGGTCCCTAGAAAGTTAAAGAGGACGAAAGGCAAACAAGCACCGCAAAACGCCAAAACAAAACGCTCAGGTGTGATTGGAGCATGAAATAAAAAATTGTGCAACTGATACGCATGCAATCATTAAGAGTTGAATACAACTGACAGACGATGATGATTTGGACCAACACTCGATGCTAAGAAAGTTAATTCTGATACAGGGGTTTCAATAACCTTTTTCCATAAGCAGCTGTCGATGGTAAAATAGGCGGCTGTGGCCGAAAAGGGGCAGTATGGTGAAACCCAAACATGAGCCCGCTTGCAGGGTAAACAAAAGGCAATAAGAGGTCTTATAGTCAGCGGTACACCCCTTTTATTGTGATCAGCCATTCAATACCATCGTTCTACAGATTAATCACCTCTATTTCGACCTCTTGAGTAAATGTCCGCGAGTAGCCTTTGACCATTTTCTTTATACCTGCTCTAAAGTAAACTCCTTTGTTATGAAGCCTGAAACAAAAAGAAACCAAAAAAAAAAAAGAGGGAATTAGAGATTCAACAGAGTCGCACTAACAATAAATTGCAAAACACAAAGTCGGGGTTTTTTCAACCTATCCCTTTTCAAAAGAGCTTTCAACGGAGGTTAAAATTTATCCGGAGTTTGAGTACATTAAACACAGTAAAGATGAAACAACAGTACATCTCAGAAGACTATGGAACCTTTGTTACCATCCAATGGCTTTCGCAATCAACACTCTTTTTCTTCGATCGAAGGCACTACGACTAATTTTGTAACCTGTAAATTGAATCCTTTGTATCCTCACCTGCTATGGAATTTATCAGGTGCTTCCTCCCTCTGGAGATGAAAATCTAAACAAAGCTCAGCTCCAATTCCGCTCCCAAAGTAATTATTCATGGTAAAAATACTAGGATTGTCTTCTCTTCCTCCCATCGAGCCAAGCGCACTGTCGTTAGTGTCCGCTGAATCAAACATGACACACCATCTATCAAGAAACACTTCGTGTGCCTGATCAACGGCCATGAGAAGCGATACAGGACTCTCGCCACCAGAGTAACCACCTCCCCAATGGAGAACACGAGAGAGATCATTACCTGTAAGTTGAGAATCTCGTTCAATCTCCCACTCATTTTCTAGCTACTATGGAAATCACGAGAGAGATGAATACATATAAGCTGGGAATCTCATTCAATTTGCCACTAATTCTCTTGTTACTATAGAAATCACGAGAGAGATTCATTCATACGAGAGTCTCGTTCAATTTCCCACCCATTTTCTTTTCACTTTGCTATACCACCCGAACGGCAGCTTTTCAAAATACGCTACAATCGTAACTTGAAAATGCTCATATAATTACCGTATAGAGTTCCAGACTTTCAGTAATCAATACTACTTGATTTACTTTCAAATACTACGAACTTTTCAGGCCTAAAAAGGGAAAATCTGCATGACTTTCCAGGGTCTCTATCGCCTAGAAAACACGAATGACTAAGTCATGATTAGTTTCAGATTTCCATCCCATTGACCAAGTTTGTTGAACGAGTCTTGAAATCTATGACATATCGCAGAAAAACAAAACGTACAAAGGTACTTTTGACTCTGGAAATAAATTTGCTCTAAATCGTGGGGAACACGAATACTTTGGAAAAAATCCACTTACCAATGCCAAGAGGAAGAACTGCTGATGCAGGTAGCTTACACTTCATCTCTTGAACAACATCATCCAAACATGACAGCACCCAGCCAACTGTGCCATCACCACCACAGATCAAGACACGAAAATCAGAAATAGATCTGAAAGCATAAACTCTGAAACAAAGATACAAATCGATTCATATTTTAGATATTCAGCGATTTAAAGACGATGGGACAAAGCTGACAGAAGAAGACAAGGCTTATAGTTTTGAGTATAGAATAGCTGTAAATGATTAATTTGGGAAGCAACCTATACGACAAAATATAAATCGCTCTTCTGCAGGACGACGTCATATAAGGAAAACTAACCCCCATGCCTTTTTTGGACTAAAAATTTTACATCAATCTTTACCACTTCCTTGCTTGTTCCATCTTGAAAGCGAGGCTTGGGGGGAGACATTGGGTTATCTCATGTAAATATGGGTATCGCCCTTTAAAGGGTGCAATCTGCACTGGAAAGATTCTGCACCCACCCATATCTGCACTATGGCTTGATTAGCTCGGCCTCGGTCAATTCTCGTGGACACAAGAGTCTAAGGAAATAGTTCTTACTAAGTAAACAACTTCCGTGTAACCTCAACAAATTCGGGTGGGAATTCGTCTCGATATGGAGGGGGAGCGAGTTTAACATACCCTGATAATGGGCCTCCCTCTAAGAGGCTGTACACTTGATTAGGGTTGAGCAGTCTCTGGAAAGCTGTGAACATGTCTGCCCCCTGACCGCCACCACTTTTGGAGTTTACCAGTACTAGAAGGGGTTGGCTTCCAGGGGGGAACAGTCCAGGCTATAGGGAATAACAAAAAAATCAAAATAGGCATAACTCCTTAACTGTAGGAAGAGAATACCGATATGCAAGAAACAGAAATCTTGATTCCAGTCAGTCTTTTTCAGTTCATCTGTTTTTTAAAGTACTTCTAGGAAATGCTCTACAGAAAGAACACAGAATTCGCTTTATACTTCCCATGGGCACTGCCAGTGATATAATAATGTGTCTTAATTATTAGATACATGAACTGAGCTCTAGGATTACTAGTAACTCACCACAACTTGAAAACACACTTTTCACCTCACAAAATTCCATGGCTACAAAACAATTACAAGAAAAAATATGAGAACAGCCAAAAGCCTCCCTTTGAGTATTTTAATGCGTAAAATATTAGGTCGCCAAGGTGTCGTCAATCTTGTTACCAGGGTCACTGTCACTCTTAAATAGCTGAATGGACATGGCAGATGGTCAGGGGAACGAGGACTCAGGAAACGTACATTAGCCCCTCGTAAAACAAAGATACTTGTTTAGAAGCATCTAAAAAACAAACAAAACAGAACTTACTTTCTCCTAGAATGTTGCCAATCAAAATTTTGTATTTGCTTGTGTCAAGGCCAACTGGGAGACTACCAATGCATATGCATAAACTGCCCAAGGGTTCTATGTTTTGCCTCAGGTAGAATCTTGTGAGTTTCATTTTCCTTACAGACTTCTGCAAAGAAAAGAAGTACATTAATTTTTATAAGGAGTCTAACACCTTCAGATGAATATAAGATCTATTATTTATCATTAAAAATCACCTTGCAGTTATCAAAGGAAGTTAATAACAAAATGGGCGCAAAGACATGAAACTATGGAAAGCAAAGTTGTCACCACCTTACCACCATATATTCAATGGCTGTAACTTAAAAATAAGAAAAGTGGAAGGTAAAAAGGCAGAGGAGCCCCTCACCCAGATAATTAACCCTTTACACCCAAAGATCAGTGTGCATATTCTCCATGCTGTTTTCTATACATTTCCTACGGTGCTGACATGGAGATTTTGCTTAACAATCAAGAGCTCTGGTATTTGTTGATCATTATTTAATTCTCATGACCTTAATGTTTGATTCAGGGGTGATACTGTAAGGAGAAATTAGATGTTGGTCAGTCTAAGGGGTAAAAGGGTCAAACTATTATACTGTTTAATACTACATAACTACATCTACTGTTGACTTACTATGTGAGAGGTTGATGATTCTCTGTTAGCTTCTGTCCTTCAAATGACAACCAATAGATTTTCCAAATGTACTTCCTATTAGTTTTTATTTACAAAATTATATTACATTATGATTTGTGTATTGGTAAACAAACATTAAACTGTTTGTCTCATGATGTCAGAGTCAGGCTAATTGATCGATCAACATCTATTTAATCCATCAACACCTTCATCAGGTGTTGAGGTCGAAAGTTGATATGTCACTATTTGTAGCACCTTGGTTTGTAATTATTGGTGGGTTATAGCTTGCTGTCATTGGAGTATTTCGATACTCATTAATTATTCCCTTAAAGGTCTACTTTGTTACTGATCAGCTGTTATGCTATTTGATAGTAAGCATTTCAATTCCATCATCTCTATTGACGTATTAGATTTGTGTATAAGTTGAACAGTTAAAGTTAATATCTAACCCTCTACCACCTTGAGTGTTGTACTATGAATATTGACAAGTTTTCAAGCAGAAAGCTAATAAGAAGACAGGTCCTTAATGGTCGGCTAATGGTCGAATAAATGAATATTAGGTTATATTGTTTGATTCAGTATCAAATTTTCATGGCTGAAAACATAAATATGTATCAATCACACAATGCAGTGGACTGATATGTTGATTTTGCAAGTACAGTGTATAGGGGCCATCTGATTACATCAATCAGAAATATAAAACTATGTAAAACCATACTATGTAAACTTGACATCATTTGATTCCTTATCCACTTACCAAGAGACAATATGCAGACCTCCTTCCCTGAAGAGTTTAAGTGAGATTTGTCTTTGTATTGCCTTCTTTAAGTGATGCACTGTCGCATTTTGGATGACAACTACAGCTGAAAGTTTATTAAAAGGCATATAAAATTATATATATATAAGGAGTGGATCTTCCACTATGTTCCCCAAATTTTTTCACCAAAGAGAACCATCACTTCTGGATGCGATAGAGAGTCAATCTTTTTCTCCGATTCTTCTGGGCTCTCTTCGTCCGCCATATTGAGTTGAGGTTCATTCCCAGGCTTTCTCGAATTGCAAGAAGAGTTGCGCCTGCCTCCGCTTGCCACGATTAGATTACAGCCGACATTTCAGTACACTCAAAGATCGCGTAAATTGGATGATGATCTCCAATGAAGAACAACTTAAGATTGTTGTTCTGTGGTACTTTTTTTTTTCATGTGGGTATGCTGCTGGAGCTAAAAAGAAGAAGGATCTATAAACTAATGTTGAGGTATGTGAAGAGATTGAAATCTCAGACAAGCTTCTTGCGCTTAAATTACTGGTAGTATTTCTTTGTGATCGATCGGGTGCTAATTTCTGCAATTTTGAATTTGGATTTTATCTTTCTTCGAAAAAAAAAGCGAGCATTTATTAAGTCTGTGAAATCGATATTATTTGAGGGAAAATTCACGAAATTTGTCGCGATAACCTACCCGCGCGGATTTTGTTATGCAGTCGAGAAAATTAGAAGCTTATGTTTTTAATTTTGCATACGTACGGTACGTACGGGAGGAGTTTGGGTGAACTTTATGGCAAAATATGTTATACTGAAAAAAAATCGATATTCGTTTGTCAGCCAAAAGTGGGTAAGCTAAAGGTTGTTGTTGAAATATCGATTAAACTGTTGATATGTATTGTGTATGCCAGTTGATAACACTTCTGTGGTAAATGTGAACGAGAGGATTAGTCCTTCGCAGGCGAAAGATACTAAAATATCACGCGATATTTTTTTTTGTCCTTTTATCGCGGTATTTGTTTCATCGATATTCAAAATAATATTTTTTCAAGCGCTCCACATGGAGAAAAAGTGGAAAATTAAATAACTAAGAACATTTTTGCTTTTTTTGTTCAAATACATGCACACTACATAATAGTCTGGGCTATTTGAGAAGGAGTGTCACGACAGGTGGTCTAAAGTGATGCTAGAAATTAATAATTTATTACAAATCTCGTCTCCTGGCAGCAGTGATTAGGTTAATATCATGGCTTTGATCTTCT